GTGTGCTGAGTTTCGTGAAAATTGGTTCAGATCTAGATATATATATATATATATAGTTTCGTCCGATTTAATGTAAATAATGTACCAAAGTTCTTATGTTGCATAGCGTAGTGAATTTAATCCAGAATGATGTGTGCCAAGTTTCGTGAAAATCGGTTGAGGATATAGCTCCCTTATATTGTAGATTGATTTTAAGTAATTGACGCACCAAGAAGCCAAAATATGGCTGATACGAACAAAACGTACTGAAATTAGTATAACCTGTGACAAACTTCGTTGAAATCGGTTCATATTTTGATATAGCTCCCATATATATTTTCGTTCGATTTTAAGTAAATTATGCATTAAACTCATCATGTTTGTCAGATTGACATCAAATGTTACACAACGTACAACGTAAACGTACAATAACGTAGTTGCGTTTTCTAGAAGTACAGACATAGCCTAACTGATGACCTGTTGATATTTGTTTGAAGTCGATTTACATACTTTTGTCCCATGTAACAAACGAATGATATGTTTATGGATTGATCTAAGTTGATTCACATTTAGATAAATATCACATATTTTATCCAATTTCATGTTAATAGTCCTGTTTAATATACTCAAAGTAGTGAAGGGTATCATATAGTCGGCCCTGTCCGACTTTACTACTTTTCTACTTTCCTTATTGGTTTAGACTTCTATATAGACTGACAATTTTCAACAATGTTTGATAACGCATACACATCTCCTGGAAATATTTAAAAAAATATAATTTTTATGAAAAGAATAAAATTGACAGGAGGTGGCGTATGAATAACAAAAACACTTAAAAAAATCCTAGTACAAGGAATAATTTTCTAAGGATGATACATATGCAAAGAAACTTGGATTTTGGAACCGCAGAAAGTATTTTGCAGATTTCTGAAATATATTTTTCTGAAATGCTATAGAAAGCGTGTACTTAGAAAAATATTTTTGGAGTAAATATTTGAATGAATAATTCTTCACTGTCCGGCAAGGCGTAGATTTTTCTAAAATAAATTTTTCTCGCAGAAGGTGAAATTTTAATTAAATTTTCAGGGTCCACCAATGCGTGGATTCTTAAAGGATTATTTTTAAGACGCAAGATTCAAGAAGCAGATTTTTAAGATATTAATTTTTCAAGGTGTTGATCATTTAAAGAATCAATTTTTCAGGGTCCTCTAAGGTGCAGATTTTTCACAGATACAAAGGCCAGATTTTTAAAGAAAGCGTGGAATTATTTAAGAATATTTTTTAAGACGTCTATAGAGGCGTTGATATTTAAAAAAATACATTTTATTTCTTCTTATAAAGGGGCTGGAACTTTTCATCGGGCAAAGATCGACTTGTATTTATTATTGTTGGTAGAAGATTTGACAACAATTTAGAACCTAAAATATCAAACGAGAACCAAATCGGTTGAAGTAGGGCACTGAAATACTATATAATGAGTTACTAAATGATGGGGGTTATCCCAAAATTTTTTTGGTAAATTTAGTATACGGTGTTCAGTGGATTCTTAAAGGATTATTTTTAAGGCGCAAGATTCAAGAAGCAGATTTTTAAGATATTAATTTTTCAAGGTGTTGATCATTTAAAGGATCAATTCTTCAGGGTCCTCCAAGATGCAGATTTTTCGCAGATACTTTTTCAGGTCCGTCAAAGGCCAGATTTTTAAAGAAGGCGTGGAATTATTTAAGAATATTTTTTTAGACGTCTATAGAGGCGCTGATATTAAAAAAATATTTTATTTCTTTAGACCCAGAAATTGTAAAACAAATGTTTTTTTTAACATTTTTTTATCTTGTTAAAGTTCCAGATCCGCATCTTTATGGACTGTGTTGTATATAAGTACTGTCGTTATGTATACGATCTAGTGTCATATTTAATAATACTTACGTTTTTCCACTTTTTTAGGTAGTTTGGAAAGAAAGAACTTTTTTAGTGTGTGTGTATTACCAGGGATTTCAAATGATTTCTGTTTGGTACATTCCCTTTTGTTGCCACTGTTTGTTTCGCAATTTAACTTGACATTATCTTAAAATCAATAAGAGATTCGATAAATTTCGTTGTCAGAAGGACTGTCAGATGACTGAAATACTCAATTGCTCAATAATTCTGCCCAGGGTGTAAAGACATGAAAATTCGAACTCCATCATCAGAATTAATCAATCAACTAAGGCAGGAAAATATAAAATAAGGAATACCAAATTCAGGAATTTGAAGGAATCAATTCGACCGAAAACCTTGGATTTGCGAATAAACAAACATTTGTATAAAGATTGACGATCTCTCATGAATAATAAATGTAATTCTTTCGAAAGTGGATTCAATACAGCTTTGCCCAGAAGTGTCAAATTGCTACCAGTTCTTTGTTATGTTCCATCGTTTTATACCGTCCACGATGAGATTGACATTCTAAATAACTAAAACCATATATATATATATATGTAAATATTTTGTTATGACAATTCGGCTAAGAATTTCAACATACCGAATATTTTATATAGGAGCTATATGAGAATATCTGGTGGATGATCATATTAACTTATTACAAACAGTGAAAACAACAATGATAACTACAAAAAGCAATAACATAACGGTGCCTAAATAAGTCAATACCGTTGATCTGCTCATCATCATTCTGCAATCGTGAGCAAACATCTCCTACAAATGTGGTTGTCTTAGTACCTGCAGTCGAGGGTACTGCTACAAGCACGCAGCAATCGAGAAAAATTAATCTCAGTTTAAGGACCACAGATTGCTCGCCACAATCTCAACCCCACCTTCTGAGACAGATGTGGACTTAAACTCTCAGTCTGAACATGAATATATAAAAATATAACTTTCTTTGAATGCCGAAGAAAAATAGAAATCGATAAGATGGTTAATGTATTGAGCAAGAAAAATCGCCGAAGCACACTACAATAAAGAAGTAGTTATCTGCGGCATAAAAGGAAGGCATAGCCAGCATCAACCAAAAGAACAAAATTGGCAAGGAGGATTAGGACTTCGGAAGATCAGACGAACGCCAAACCCGCAAAAAATCCCGTCGACTGATAGCAAGAGAAGACATAGCCTACTCGAAGTCAAAGAAGATTGTCACGGTAATCCATTGACTTTTTCAAAATACTTTGAACAGAATTTTGTATTGCAGCAGATTTGATCGTTGGAGTGTTTTAAGATAAGAGTCTAAAATCCCACACGCTACGCGCGGCTGTGTGTATATTTAACCGACCGAAGTCAATATCAAGAATACGAGCACTGCATCCGATTCTTCCGTGAAGTCCGGCAATACCAAAATGACTAACCGGAATTCCCGAAAGGGGAAGACAGCGGCAGAATTCCTAGACGTTTAGAAAAATTAAATCGAAATATGACTTCGTCTAACTTCCTCCCTTTTCTTCTATTCACAAACGTTTTATACCCCAAATATCTAAAAACCCTGTAAGCGGAGCAGTATACTCGGACGTTTCCTTCTTCTCGGGTCTATGTCCTCCAGAAGTAAATATATACGTCATAGAATATAATTTTTGTAATTTTTCACACAAAAGTGAAACAAACAGACATGTAAAACTTCGCAATGTTCGGGCCATAATTGCGGCCTTTGGAGCGACCAGAAAACCCGGCAAAATTAAAGTATTTGGTTCATTACATCCCCTAAATACTAACCAATCATTACCAAAAACAATAGGGGTCTTCATTGGTATTAACCGGTCCTACATTTCGTGAAGATTGGTCCATTACTGTGACCTGTATCGTACTTACAAATTATAGAGGACAGACGGACGTACACACGTGTCTAGATCGACTCAGCTAGTCGAGATATGACGATCGGTATACTTAAAGGTGGTCTAGGACAAATATTTCGCGTCGTTACAAACTCTTGGGGCTGCACAAAGCTATAATACCCAGACAACATAGTTGTGTATAATTATGTTAATTTCGGCCGGCCCAACTTCTAATAGTCACCAGCATCAGGTGGACATTCAAAATACCTGAAATAGATGTTCACAGTCCTAGTCCAAATTTCCAACCTAAGTGCATGCAATTTCATAGTTAGGCATTACCCATAAAAGGCCTAACAATGGAACTACATGCACTTAGGGTGGAAAATTGGATTAGGACATTGAACATACTAAAACGACGCGTGACTTATATAGAAAATGTTTTGTAAACAAATTATTAACTCACCTAGGTTCGGTTGGAAAATGCTACAAGGACAATTAAACTACATATAAAGGGACTGGACCTTTTCATCGGGCAAAGATCGACTTGTATTTATAATTGTTGGTAGAAGATTTGACAACAAATTAGAACCTAAAATATCAAACGAGAACCAAATCGGTTGAAGTAGGGCACTGAAATACTATATACTGAGGTACAAATGATGGGGGTTACCCCAAATTTTTTTTGGTAAATTTAGTATATGTTGTTCAGTAACTTATACTAAAATTTGATGGAGAATATGTTTGTTTTTTATACCATCTTTCTGAAGCGACATATAGTCAGAAAAATTGGTACAAACTCGGAATATGATCGGTTTTTACCCTAAAATGAGTTTTCGTGGAACTCCATCATGATTTCAATAGACAAACACGGTATTTTTCCCCGCAAATATAATGAAAAAATTAATGTACCTTCTACCTTATGGTGGACGGTATGAGAATTTGATATTTAAAATTAAATCCACAGAATATTTATGGTAAATTATTTGCGAGTCTTCAGTTTATTTTGATATAAATACGTATATAAATTTCCAGATCTCGCAGACAAACACCATAAACATCGAATGGAAGATCGGACTAGGGAAAGTGTATCTAAGGATGGTTTATGAAATTCAAATTTATAACACAGAGAACATATCGTACGTTCAAACCGTTTTGAATGCCATCATATTTTACCAACCCTTTATATCACCAAACCATTTACCCTGCGATATTTCCCTTCTTCCTTTTAAAATATTCCACAACAAATAAATTCTCTCTACTTACTTATTCCATATCATATCGCCCGATATTAATGGCATTTCCATTAGCAATGCCGATAACAGCGACGATTTGCCACTACCATTTTTGCCAACAATCATTGTTAGCTTGCCGCGGGGCACAACAAAATCCCGGATATACAACATGGTGGTGGTGCCTTGAGGATTCCATGAGAATTTACAATTCTTCACGGAGACAGCAATGTCATCGGGCATTTTTAAAAGCAATGAATCACGATGCCATGAATCGGTCTTCCCCGTACGATGATGTGATGTACGATGTCCTGCTTTAATTTGTGCCTGTTGTCCTGCATTGTTTTGATGATGATGGTGCTGTTGTTGTTGCTGCTGATGATGATGCGACTGGTGCTGTTGATGATGATGTCCACCATGTGTTGTTAGATTTTTACGTGGTCTTATTACCACATATGGTGTATTTCTTAGCAGCTCCTTACGTGCATGTGACGACAACTTTTTATGATCCACCGGAAATTCCATCATTTCTTTGTTTTCGGATACAATCAATGGCGTCTGTGGTTCGGAATTTGCCAACGGTGCCGGTTTATCCGGTATATAGATTTTAATATTTGGCTTCCCCGTCGCCTTGGAATTCACCTGTTCACTAACCGTTTTCAAGGTGATATTCGTTGGCAACGATTTCGATTTCACCTCATACATATCCAACGAAGCATCACTTTTACTTAGAATTCTAGCCATATTTCGTATTCCTTCGAATTGTTTTTGTATTTCATGGGCAGCGAGGAATTTTTCCAAACGCCTCGTGGAAACAATGGCCGACAATATAATGGGCACGGTAATGGGGAAAATGAGCAGGGGTACGGTTAACTGTTGAAACAATGCCAAAGCGGAAAATAAACGACTGGCCGTGATTTCCGAATTACTATCGTAATAAACATAAACGGCCAAGGTAACAAAGGTAATGAGCACCGAGGAGATGTGGGTTAAAATTGCTGCACAAAAGAAAGAATTAAAAGTGGGTGTTGTTGGGAAATTAGTTTTTATTTGTTTTTCAATTTTATTATTATTTGCAAACACTTACTCATTAAAGTCCAATAAAATGAATCCTTATTTAAGTATTTCAATTCATTGTTACGGGCTTCGGTTATTTTTGTTATGAAAACATTGTCCCACGCATTTAGTTTGATTAATTTGATACCCATAAAACAGTCGTGTAGTTTCTTTAAACGTATATCGGTGAATTTCTGAAAGAAAGAAAGAAAGAGTGTATTTAGTTACAAATTCGTTAAAATTGTGAAAGAATTAATTGTAGGATGCTTATGATTGGTGTCAAGTCCCAATGGGCGTATATAAAGACCGTAATTTTCAAATTAGATCTTTGAAACTTTTTATTGGAATTATAATTTTTGGAACAGACTTCAAATATATATAATGTATCCAAATATGACAAGTGCGGTTGAAAAACATGTCGGAACTTCTTATAACCAAATCTAACTAATTCGGATGAAAAGCGTATCGAAAATATCGTATTCTGCGGGTGTTGTTATGTGGAGCTATGCAAATTTCAAAATACAATTTCTATCGGATATATCTGCCGCCTCACTTATGGCTCTATGTGGAACCCCTTGCATAAGTCCTCAAAACAGAAAATATTTCAGGGATTTTCAGCGTATAATTGACGCCATAATGTATAGGCACTAATGGCAATAATAAGATCAACCAAAATGCACAATACAGTATTTTACGGTTAATTGCACATCAAAATTTGTACAATTTTTTTTTCAATTAACCGAGGAACCAGTTATCCTATACCCGCTTAATTGAACTGTTTGTTCAATTACAGAAATCACGCATAATTAGGAGAAATTAATTTCTAATGTTATTGTCAAATACAAATTAAAGACTTATGCACACAACTTACATAAAAACGGAAGAAAATATATATGGAAGCTTTATCCAGATCTGAACCGATTTTCACGAAACTTAGCACAAATCATCCTTAACTTAATTCAGTACGCTATGCAAAATTAATCGCAACTTGAAAGAAATTTAGAAAATATATATGGAGGCTATATCTAAATCTAAACAAATTTTCACGAAACTTAGCACACCTCATTATAGACTTTTTCAGTACGTTATGCCAAATTACTTCTAAATCGAATGTTCTGAAGGGACTGTGGTGCACTATTTACATTAAATTAGCAGAAAAAAAATTTCGCGGAAATCAAAAAATCTGAACCGTACAGTATGCTATGCAAAATTTCGTAAAAATCGAAAAATATATAGGGACTTCGGTGCACCATTTACATAAAATCGGTCGAATATATATATCTATATATATAAAAATGGAGCAAGAAAAATGTATACTAACGCATCAATTGAGAACGGCTGGACCGATTTGACTCAAAATTTCTTTAAGTTGTCGGTAATTATAGTAGGAAGGTTTTTATGAAATAAAATTTTGAGAAAAATCCGCGAAAATTTTGCAAAAATTATTTTAAAGAAACGGCTGGACCGATTTGACTTAAAATTTCTGTTAGTAGTCTGTAATTGAAGTGGAAAGATTTTAGTGAAAGAACATTTTGAAAAATCCGCGAAAATGTTGCAAAATATATTTTGAAAGATATTAGCATTTCCACACATTTTATATCGAACCTTTATGGTTTCATCTCTTCGGAGTTATTTTTGGACATATTTTGGGCGAAAATGGGCAGCGTATATCTTTAAGAAATTGTCAATTATGGAAAATTCTTAAAATATGTTAATTTTCTACAAATAATTGGATTGTCATTGCCTTGAAAAATGAATTGATGTTCGTTAGTCTCGCTAAAACTCGAGAACGGCTGAACGGATATTTCTTATCTTAGTCTTGAAATGTTCGTGGAGCTTCAGGGAAGGTTTAAAAGTGAGAAAAAATCGAAAACCGCGAAAAATTTGTAATAAAATATTATGAAGCATATTTGCATTTTCACGAATTAGGTATCGAGGTATTTTGGTAGCACCACATCGAGTTGTTATTTTCGGCGAAAATTAGTAGCGTATCATTACCTTAATCCTACATTTGCCAATTATTGAAAATTTTCAAAATATTTAATTTTTCAATCCTATTGACATTGTATTGAAATTTTTTTATGTGAGAATACAAAAAAGAATTGAAAATTTTATAATTGAATTTACACGCAATCATTCTATTAAGGGTAAAACAAGGATGGAAAATCAACCATTATATTGGGGTTATATGTCTAATCGTTTGTTAATATCTTTGAACTTATAAACAGAACACCTCGCATATATCCGATACCAAAAATGTGTATCAGTAAGCTCAATTTGAAACTTATCAAAACTAAATAGAGAATTTTTTGCAAAAATGTGTTTTAACCCCCAATATATCGCAATGACATATTACAGCTACTACAATGGAAATGAAGATATATTCGTTTTTTGTAGGAAGACAAAAGTGACCAAACTCCCCAAAATACTGAATATTGTAGGAACTGTTATGTGCAACCCCACAAAGATGGACTTATATTAATAATTTTTAGTAGGATTCATGCTACCAAATAAAACAACCAACTACAGCTGATTAGGTTGAAAAATGTGCCTAAATGCCCAAAGGAGGCTTCTTGAAAGCTTGGGCAAATTTTGCTTCGAACATTTTCTACTCGATGATCATCCAAAATAAAAAATTACAGCCAATAATAAAAAATAAAAAATTACAGACTCGCTCATAAACATCAAATTGTAGATATTTAGTACTTTAATGTTACTTTATGCGTGCTCTGATAAATACCAAAATATTACAAAGAGAAGTACACTATACATTATGTTGTAGGTTAAAGAAAAAATAAATCTAAATTGCCGAACATTATACACCAACAAAATTGCTAGGCAAGACAACGTTTGCCGGGCCCGCTAGTATATATATATATATACAATATATAAGAGAGCTATATGTAAATTTGAACCTCAATTTCAATAGGGTTCGTAATTGGGCCGGATTATAAATGCGACCTGTACTTTGTTTACAATTTAACATTAACAGACGGACTGACGGACATGCATAAATCGACCCTGAAAGTGATTCTAAGCATATTCTCAAAAGGAACCATGGGTCTATAAAAATATCAGATTATTTTTAAATAATAATGCAATTAGCCGATGAAAAATAAGAGGAAATTTATTTTTGATGACATGAATTTTGAGCCAATTAAGCGGGAAAATCAATTAACAGGGATTAATTATCCGAGAAAATTTACATGTGTTTTCCTATGCAATATTTTGTGATGATCAGATAATAACTTTGGGATGAAGTGGAGCGAAAACATATTTTTATGTCCTTTTTCGATTCGAATTATAGGCTGCAAATATAAGCCGAACATAACAACACAAACCACGGTGAAGGGGATATGGACAAGTAATTAGAAGGGCTGTACTGAATATTGTTAATATTCGGAAAAAATGTCAGTGTATGGAAAAGGTGCTGTTGACCTCTAATGTGGTAAGAGGGTGCAACTATACGAAATATTACCCAGGCTCGGAATAAAAATCCGCAGAAAGATAGAGTTCTACGGTAGTTGTGTAGGGTATCGTATGGTCGCCCCCGTTCGTCTATACTGCTCCGCTCACTGGTTCAAAATACATTCTTTTCGTTTGTGCTCATTTTAGGAATGAATTTATGGTGATAAATTTTTTACCAAACGAGCATTCGCCAAAGAATGTTCGCACAAACATAACAAACGAATGAGAGCACAATCGTTCATTTAGTTTGGTGGTTGAAATTCTTTCTGACATTCTCTCTCGAATGGAAACAAACATTCCCGAATTCTCGCGAGTGCTCAAAACGACAACAACAAACGTTGGTGAACTCAATAGTTGTTGCACATGTGTTTTGTTATTCCACACACTTTCTTCTACATACACATTCTTTCGTGTGTTTACTTTTTTATGATATTTTTGTTTGTTGTTGTTTTTAAGAGTGCTCGCGAGCATTCGCGAACATTTGTTTTTTGAGTTATTCAATTAATGTCCTTTAATGTCCAACTGAATAAATATGTTTAATATGTATTTAGCTCAGAGGGGCTCAGCCGATGAGAGTCGGTACGGCGAATGCTTCGAGCAATGGACCGTAGGGTAGGGATACGTAAAGAGAATCGATTGCTGTGAAAGTAAATAACAAGAAGAAAAACATAGAGGCTTCTAAGTAAATATATATTTAATAGATTATTGATAGGCCGTAACTAGTTTACCTGTGCTCGTAAACGATATTACGTGGTTGCATGTCCGAATGACAGTATGGCATTCCTTGATGCTTAAAAGAGGCGGCAAAATAAGTGACAAGTAATTACTCGTTAAAATGTCAACGGCTCTAGTACAAGGTTTCAATAATATCACATACATTTTAACGAATAATTAAAGATCAAAAGATGAGTGAATAAAAAGTAGTATTTTTATACAATTCTAAAAGAAACCAAAGTGTTAAAATCGTTTCTGTAGAAGAAGAATTTCTCTTGTTACATAGGTGGGCATTACATTTTTTAGATATACTAAATATGAATGAAATCAATTGAATCCTTAAGTTAGAGTATGGTGCGTGGAAGTTAACGGTATACACAGTAGAAATGCAAAACAAGAACCATTAGAGATGAGCAGTTGGTAAATACCGGTTATATACCCATTTGTGTGTATTTATTTAGGTATTTACTATATTGAATCGCTAATACAACATTTTACACCCTATTTAAGGGTTTCTATTATCACATCGAATCAAAATGAATAGATTTAAAATACTTTAAACACGTGCTTAAAATACCGAGTATTTACCCAAATGTTTTGAAGGCAGGCTGCCAAAATTGGGTTCACATGTTTTTAATATCCAAAGGAATACTGGTATGGAAAATGGGGTATCTGGTCCATGTTTTGATATAGCTCCCATATAACCGTACCTCCCTATTAAAGGTAATTTGTATATATTAGCCACTTTTTATAATAAAACTTGCTGTCATTTTGCACAGAGAGTTCTCAATGTGTACCAAATATCCACACACAAATTTATTTTGAGTGTTTACCAAACTATTGGGTAAAAACTCATTAACTGTGAAGCGAACCACTTGACACAATCTGCAAATTTCGTGGTCTTCAGATCATATGTGGGATCTGTAGGAAAATATACAAAAATCAAGTCTAGTATTGTAACGAAAGTACATTTCGCATTTCTTTTCCGAATGAGATGAAGTTCGGCACAGCTCAATTGCAACGAAATTTTACACAACGTACCGAATTAAGTCCAGAATGACATGTATTGAGATTGTTAAAATCAGTTTTTATACCCTCCACCATGGTATGAAGGGTTTATTAGTTGTGTCACTCGTTTGTTATTCATCGAAATATTCATTTCAGACCCTATAAAGTATACATATTCTTGATCGTGGTAAAATTCTAGACGATAGCTGTAATCACGCTATCTTCTAAAGGAATTAAGATAGGGCACTGACATTTTACATAGGGTTGTCTTTTGTCTGCAGGGGTGTCAAGTTCAACGATGGGCTATATCGGTCCACGTTTTGGTAGGTAGGGTACCTTCCAATTTTCAGTATTTTGAGCTCGTTTTTCGTCCGTTTTGCTGTGATTCGGCACATTGGGTTCTTATTGGGTATCAAATCTCCATATTTAAAATTATAAATATCGATCCATTTTTTCTTGTAGCCCCTAACATTTTGTTATTTTTGGGTTTTTGAGGTAGAACTCGCGGTAATTTGGAATTTTTGGGTTCTTATTGGGTATCAAATCTGCACACTAAAAATTATTCGGTAGCCTCCATATTTTTTTTATTTGGAGAAGTTTGGACATGTTTTTCAACCGAAATGGTTGTAAATTGGCATTTTGGATTCTAATTTGATAAAAAAGCTCAATATAGGTTTTTGATAACGTTTTTTAATAGAATTCACTTTAATTTTGTATCTTTGATTCATATTTGGTGACAAATCTCCCTTCTAAGAGTTATCAATAGTCGGCCTTTTTATACCCTTAACCACACTGTGATACAGGGTATTATGTCTTTGTACATATGTCTGTCCGTCCGTCTGTCCATTTATGATCCTATTTGGATGAAATTTGGTACAGTTCACTTATTTGGCCCGAGGACGTAGGGTTTGAAATTGAAATTGGAGGAAATCGGTTCAGATTTACATATAGCTCCTATATATAGTTTCGCCCGATTTAATGTAAATGGTGTACCAAATTCCCTATATGTCCTTCGATTTGCACGAAATTTGGCATTGCGTACTGGATTGAGTCTAGAATGATGTGTGTAAAATTTCTTGAAAATCGGTTCAGATTTTGATATAGCTCCCATATATAGTTTCACCCGATTTTAGGTAAATGGTGCACCAAAGTTCTGAAAATCATTGGATTTTCACGAATTTTGGCATAGCGTACTGAATTGAGTCTAGAATGACTTATGCTAAGTTTTGTGAAAATCGGTTCAGATTTAGATATAGCTCCCATATATATTTTTATCCGATTTAAAGTAAATGGTGTACCAAAGTCTCTTAATATCTATATCTATCGATTTGCACGAAATTTGGCACAGCGTAATGAATTAGGTCTAGAATGATGTGTGTTATGTTTCCTGAAATCGGTTCAGATTTAGATATAGCTTCTATTTTTAATTTCGCATATTAAGGGTTGGCACCATACAAGCTTTTTTACCATAGTTTGGGGGATATTCTGTACTCGAAATTGTCAGTTTATATTCAGCAAAGTTTTCATTACATTTAAAATAATTGGTGGACGTAATATTTGGGGTTCAAGACAATAAGGACAGAATCTTATGAACAACATTATTTTAGAATATTTGGAGATCGAAAATCTCATCTTAAGGTATTTGATTTACGTGGTATTTCATAAGGTTGCATTCTCATTCCATTCGACTCAAGATATGTCATTTCAAATATAACTTGCAATTGATACAAACCAAACAACAGTAAAAAATCATACCTTTATTCAAAAACTTCAACTACGGATAGTTTGTTCTTCTGGATTCTTAATATTCTCGTCAAGGGATTTCATCCGCAAAAAGAATTGACTATCCCAACACAAATCAATGTTTATTTTGAGGCTAAAGGTTGAGTTTTTCATGGTAAATCATAATTTTTACTAGTGAAAAAAGTTTCCAAAGATCCAACCCTTTTATTGCCATAATTTACACTTCATTAAAGTAATACTACTCGTATATCATATGATTTAATAATTCATAATGAAAATTGAATTTCAACCCCTTTTTTGCTTGGGCAACTTTAAAGATTTTCAAACGGAAGTTAAAAGAAAAACGTTTGGTTAATTAACATCAATATTTCAATGGAGGGGAAACGATTTTCATGAGTTCATGTTAACAGAAAACCTAAAATAACTTTTCTTTTAAGATAATAAGGAGAAGCCTAACAAGTATTTTTATTCCATCAAACCGCACACATACACAAACATACACTCAAAATTACCTACATACACACTTTCAAATGAGGAAAAGGATTTCAAAATGGAAAAAAGGTCGAAAAGTAACTTCATTAGTGTGTGTGTGAAACCTGAATATAATTGAAAATAAATATTGCCTACTTTTCGGCAACGAAATAAAGGCATTACCATAACAAATGTATTGCATACTTTTAGGGCAGAAATTAAGCAACAACATTTTATTTTAGTGGGTTTGTTTTTTTTTTCTTTTCTTTTTTTAAACAAAATATATTTTAGAAACTTACCGCCATTACTTCAGCATTTTGAGACATAGCCTTGCCAATTAAAAACTGCAATGGAGTCATTGTTAAAATGCAAACAAATGAACCAATTACAGCGCTTATGCCCAACTTCAAGTACAGCAAATACATAACGACGCCAATCTAGAAAATGGAAACAATAAGGAAATAAAAGAAATTATTAATGAATTTTTTCACATTATGGAATGTAATGTATTTTTTGCAAAATTGTAATTGTAACCCACTCCCAAAATTTCTTAATAATACTTCAGGATAATGTTCGAATGTAAAGGACATCCCATTGATGCTACAGACCATAGCTTCTGCTAGTTTCTCTTACAACTCAAAATTTAATCCACTTCGAATAGCCATAACAACAACAGCAACAAACAAACCGACGAAATATTTTGGAAAGTATTCAAAAAGTATTAAAATTTTAAAAATAAAGGAAATCTTTTTCTCCGTTTAATTGTCAAAGCTTTTGGCAGCTTATTTTCACAGAGCCATCATTCATTCTACAGTCAATTTGGTATTTTGTTGTTTTGCGAATTGTTCATTTAATTTAATTGTTGTGTTTTCGAAGAGATAATAAAATGTTGGAATTGACTCAATACTCACACACACAAACACACAGCGGCTTAAGTTGTATTCGATGAAATCGGCGACGAAATTGTTTTGGCCATAATTTTGAAAATTTAATCGCTTTACTTTTAATTGATTACGAACTAATTTTACAGCAACAACAAAAAAACGAACATGAAATAAAATTCAAAGAATTTGAAAGTACATAAAATTCGTAGAATAATATTTTGTTTGTTGTATGCGCAAAGTATTGAAGGGCGAAGAGTAAATCTGTTCAAATTTTAATTTAAACCATTTGGTAAAATATTTAGCTGGTCATTTCTTAAAGTTTAATATTCGGTAAATACTAAAATTTTTATATAAAACCAATTTTTGACTTCCACCAATATAATTTCCATATTGCATGCCCTAACAATTTTAGAATCGTTCAATTATATATGTTCGCAATGCGCAAAATTCCTTAAATCGGTTAATATAGATAATATTATGGAATTATTCGGTAGTAGTACAATACAGACACTCCTGAAAACTGGGCTGGGAACTTCAACATACCAAAATTTAAACCGAACATTTGGATGAAGACTAATATTTTTAGGTTGGGGAAAAAGAAATCTATTAGGCCTGTCGTCGAAACATCTACAGTGACTCGCCAGAAACTTCGGGAGCTTTCCTGTGAAGTTTTAATGTATCCGCCATACAGACCGGACTTGGCACCAAGCGATTATCATATTTTTCTTGCATTGCAAAATTTCTTTAATGATAAAAAAGGTATCTAGGAAGGATTGTGAAAATCGACTACTAGAGTTTTTTTGCAAATAGAGAGCAGAACTTCTATGAGAGAGGCATTATGATAATAATTTTTTTGTATATAATTTGTACCAAATTACAACCACATTATTCGGAAAATTCGGCTAATGCCTTCAAAATACCGAAAATTGGTCGGTAACCTACATCAGCACGTAAATCGATATTCATAATTTTTCGTAGGAAGATTTGACACCCTATGAGAACCTATGAAATCGGATTAGAGCAAATTCGGTTGAAAAACGTGTCCAAGTCCATGTGAATACTTTAAAATGGGAGCTAACCGTTATTAATAATTGTTGGTTTTGTTACTTTTTGTAAAATACCGAAATTTCATGTTAATCCGGAGATTTATTTCTGTCGTGCATGTGGTGAACAGTATGCCTGCTGATTTGGCGCCGCATGCTGATTTGGCACCTTCGATATAATATTCAGTAGCAGCTATTTTTCTGCAGACCTCAAATTAAACCCGACATAGTGTAGTCTCTTACAATGAAAGGTGAAGTTCTTGGGCACCATATGACGAAGCAGGTTATATTGACGGATAGGCGTAGAATTTTTAAAAATAAGTTTTTTAAAGGCGTAGATATTTGAAAATAATTATTTTGAAGGTATAGATTTCTTAAACAAAATTCAAAGAGTTGATTTTTTAAAATATTTTTTACGGCGTAGGTTTTTCACAATATTTTACTTCCAGTCGTAAATTTCTTAAAATATTTTTTTTTCAAGGCTTAGATTTTTTAATTTAAAATAGTTTTATCAAAGCATAGAATTAAAAAAAAAAAATTTATTTAGGCATAGATTTTTTAATTTTTTTTCAAGGCGTAAATGTTTTGAAAATATTTTTTTCAAGGCGTACATTTTTTAACATTTTTTTTAAAGGCGTACATTTTGTAAAATAATTTTTTCAATGCGTAGAATAATTTTTTAAGGCCTAAATATTTTTAAAATATTTTTTCAAAGCGTAAAATTTAAAAATATTTTTTTCAATGCCTAGGTTTTTATTTTAAATATTTTTTTTCAATGCGTAGGTTTTTATACCCTACACAACTATGTTGTCAGGGTATTATAGCTTTGTGCAGCCCCAAAAGTTTGTAACGCCGCGAAATATTGGTCATAGACCCACCTTTAAGTATACCGATCGTCATATCTCGACTAGCTGAGTCGATCTAGACATGTGTGTCCGTCCGTCCGTCTTTCCATTATAATTTGTAAACACGATACAGGCCACAATTATGGACCAATCTTCACGAATTTTTACATGTAAAATGGGTTCTGGCTAAAGAAGACCCCTATTGTTTTTGGAAAAGATTAAGGGTTTTTCTGGTCGCTCCAGAGGCCGCAATTATGTACCAAACACCGCGAATTGTTGCATGGAGAATGGGATCGGGCCAGAGAATAAGCAAGCCTGTTTTGATAAAGATCGGTCAATATTTAGCGGGTCAAATGGACCCTGACTTTTGTGTGAAAAATGACAAAATGTGTATTCTATGGCGTATATATTTACTCCAGCATGATATAGACCCAAGAAGTTGACAGTACATCCAAGAGGAGTGGTTGACGTTTAAATTGATACCAATTATATTGTCGTATGTAATCGGATATGGGAGTTACACCCACATATTTACAGGTGCTTACGTATACAGATATTATTTTGTAACCCATTACCACATTAGAGGGCGGAAATGTAGCGCTGATTGCTTTGAAATTTTGCTTTGAAAGTTCCAGTTATGGTCAAGGAAAACGCCTATAATTGTCGGTGATGATCAGATTAATATTTTGGGATGAAATGGACCGAAAACTTAATTTTTGTGTGTTTTCGACTCGAATATAATCCAAATATCACAACACAACCTAAAGTGAAGGGAACCTGGACAAGTAATTAGAAGGGCTGAATATTCGAAAATGTAAGGAATCGGTGTTGTTGACCTCTAATCGGGTAGCGGGAACAAATATAACGAAATATTACCTAGACTCGGAATAAACATCCGCAGAAAGTTAGAGTTCTGTGGTAGTTGTGTAGGGTATCGTATGGTCGGCCCCGTCCGACTATACTGCTTCGCTCACTGGTTTAACATAATTTTTTAATGCGTAGGTTTTTTAACATAATTTTTTAATGCGAAGGTTTTTTAAAATAATTTTTTTCCAAGGCGTAGAGTTTATAAAATATTTTTTTCCAGGGCAATTATTTTTTTCGTTGATTTTTTAATATTTGTTTAGATTTAAATTTTTTGAAAATATTTTATCAAAGCGTAGGTTTTTATACCCTTCACCACACTGTGGTACAGGGTATTATGTCATTGTGCATATGTTTGTAACAGGCAAAAATAATCGAGATAGACCCATGGTTCCTTTTGAGAATATGCATAGAATCACTTTCTGAGTCGATTTATGCATGTCCGTCTGTCCGTCCGTCCATGTATTTTTGTTAACAAAGTACAGGTCGCATTTATGATCCGATTTGGATGAAATTTGGCACAGGTCACTTAATTGGCCCAAGGACGAACCCTATTGAAATTGGAGAAAATCGGTCCACGTTTAGGTATAGCTCCCATATAAGGGTACCCCAAATTTTCGGTATTTTGAGGTTCTTGAGCGCGTTTTTTAACTGAATTCGATGAAATTTGGTTCTTTGAGTTCTTATCGGGTAGCAAATCTCCCCACTAAAATTTATAAATAAAGGTCCATTTTTTTGGATACCCCCCATATAAGGGTACCGCCAATTTTTTGGTATTTTGGAGGTTTTGATCACATTTTGCGACCGAATTCGGGTACCCCCAAATTTTCGGTATATTCGGGTTCTTGGGCTCGTTTTATAACTGAATTCTCTGAAATTTTGTACATTGGGTTCTTATTGGGTACCAAATTACTCCACTATAAATATAGGTCCAGTTTTTTGGTAGTCCCCATATAACGGTACCCCCAAATTTTTGGTATTTTGGGAGTTCTGATGATTTTTCGACCGAATTGACTGCAATTTAGTACATCGAGTTGTTATTAGGTAGCAAATCTCTGTACTATAGATTATAAATATAGGTCAATTTTTTCGGGTAGCTCCCATACCAATTTTCGGTATTTTGGGGTTCTTGAACCAAATTCTTTTTATACCCTTCACCACACTGTGGTACAGGGTATTATGTCTCTGTGCATATGTTCGTAACAGGCAAAAGGAATCGAGATAGACTCATGATTCCTTTTGATAATATGCATAGAATCACTTTCTGAGTCGATTTATGCATGTCCGTCCGTCTGTCCGTCTGTTGGTGTTAAATTGTAAACAAAGTACAGGTCGCATTTATAATCCGATTTAGATGAAATTTGGCACAGCTCCTTTATTTGGCACAAGGACGAACCCTATTGAAATTGGGAAAAAATCGGTTCAGATTTAGATATAGCTCCCATATATAGTTTCGCCCGATTTTAGGTAAATGGTGTACCAAAATCCCTATATATCTTTCGATTTGCACGAAATTGAGTATAGCCTACTAAATTCGGTCTAGAATAATGTGTGCTAAGTTTCGTGGAAATCGGTTCAGATTTAGATATAGCTCCCATATACAGTTTCGCCTGATTTTAGGTAAATGGTGCACCAAAGTCCCTGAAAATCATTTGATTTGTACGAATTTTGACATAGTGTATTGCATTAAGTCTAAAATGACGTCTGCTAAGTTTCGTGAAAATAGGTTGATTTATGTATAACTCTCATAAATAGTTTCGCCCGATTTTAGGTAAATGGTGCACCAAAGTCCCTGAAAATC